TTTTTTTTTTTCCCCTTCTTTTTTTAAAATAAGGAAAGGGAGGGGGGGAAAATTTTTTTTTTTTTTTTTTTTTTTTGTAACTTTTGTTACTGTAGTGGGATTTGAACCAGAACTGTGGAATTTGAAACACCAAGCTACAGCTCCACTTTATAATGAAGAAAATAATAATTAATAAAAAAAATAAGTTATACCAGCAATAAAAAGTGTAATCTGAAGCCGTTAAAAATATACATTTTATTGATAAAAAAAATATGAAATGATCGGAGTAAAAATAATCATGTTTATTACAATAATTATCATAATGTTTGAATGACAATAAGGATAATGTAATAATTATTCTGATACTAGCAGCTTAGCGTAATTGTATTATTATTATTATTATTATTATTACTTTAATGTCATTCTTAGAAATAGTATTAATATTTATGATATTATTAGTAATTTATATTATAAATTAATGCTTTCTTAGACATTTAAAGACATACTTAATTTATGTAATACTTGTAATATTTTATTTTTATTTTGTAGGTGCAGTATAGCTTTTGCTATGATGCAGCGCGGTGTTACCTTGACGGATTTGAAGCTTATGTCAACTTTTAGTTATAACATAGTCCATACCGTATGGTACTCAGAAGACACCTTATAGTCATAAGTTTATTACTGTTAATTTAATTGTTAAACTGGATAAGTATTATCATTTACTAAAATATATATCATAAAATAGTATCTTTGTTTTCACATCAAACAGCAAGAAAAGTTACAAAACTATTACAGAATTCAAATAAATGAAATCTCTATTGCAATGGCAAATGAATGTTTTAATATTTAAGTTGTAAAAAAAAAAAAAAATAATGAACATATAGTATTACAATACAAACCTGTTTACAAACAATTCTGAAAAATAAGTGACACACACGTCATCTGTTCAAATAAAAACAGAGCAAATCAAAGCACTGTAAGATAGAGGAAGAAGCATGCTATCATGATTCAGATTGAATGATTGTTCTATAGTAGTGAAACAAGTCATCTCAGCTAGGGACTCTAAAGCATGGTTTCCATAAAAATCGCTACACAGTCGCCAGAGCCTTTTCATTGCAATCCCTACACTTCGCAGCAGTCCCCGACAGAATCGCGAATGCTTCCTCATTCAACTGACCAATCAGCATTGCCAAATAAGTTGGTGATGGCGTGTAGCGATTTTATGGAAACCAGGCTTAGGTCGTAGGCTCACACAATAAGCTTGGTTCACTTTATAGAACCTGGAATATCACTGAAGAATGACCATTTTCTTTATTTACTAAAGTTGAAATGTTACCATAACAGTTTAAAAAAAAAAACTATGTTCACCGTCACAAAAAGTTGTCAGCGGTAGAGGGTAGTGACTTTATAGAACCATGGTATATTTAATATACGGTACAATGTATTGGACAATTTTAATTGACCTTTCTAAAAATGACTAGATAATCACAAAATTACAAATATTGTTGCAATAGACAAAATGGAATCTACACATTTTGATAGTTTTAGCGAAGGGGAGGTTGTAAACAGGTCCCAGGTATTAGAAAGACAAAAAGTAATATTACCAAACGATTGAAACATTTTACAAAATATACACTGTTATTTTTGATGATTGATTTGAACTCCAACTCCTTAAAAGGTAATGCCTTGAAAATGACAGCGTAGCCAATATTGTATACTATTTTCCAATAATTTATAATTGCTTTAGATATATATCTAAATATGTATTTCATACTAGCACCATCATGTTTACTCTTTTTATGTATTGATTGTGATTTCTGGTTTAATGGTCAACGATTTTTATTTTTATAGATTTTGATCTATTTTTACTAACAGATAATTAGTTTTTTTGTATTTTTTATTTGATTTATACTTTAAGAATCAATCTTTAAAACATTATTTTTTAAGAAAGTCAAGTCATTATAATGTTGATAACACAATACATCACCTCATCTAAAAATCAATAATGGAGTGTTTTGTCTAATGGCCGCATGATTTGGCTCCAGATGTTGCTTTCGAAATTCCTTCAATGCTATATGTTTAGTTATAAGGCTTGTAGATTATCTAGGCAGATACAGTATTAACAGTGTGAAAAGAGTTTATTGCGATCTAGTAAACACACCTTAGGTCTACACAAAAAATAATTTATTGAACTTGAAAAAAAAAATATTTTAATGTAGAATATTTTACAAATATAATACAAATAACCAAAATAATGAAATCTATATGCTTTGATAGTCTTAGGATACAGACTAGTATATAATTGTAATCAGGTCTCAGTTTATGGAACGATAAAAGTTTTAATGTCAAGCGACATAAAACATTGTACAAGTTATTTATAGCATTCTTTTAATTATTATTAATTAACGGAAAATTATTCAGCACGAGATATTAATTTTCTAGAGCGATTTACTTTCATATATGTTGTTAAAAATATCTTGTTCTTTGTAAGACAACGTCTATTATGATGACAGATTTGTTATTGGATTAAATAGGCATACACTGAACCATTTGTTTCTGAATCGAATTTGATTAGAGTATCTTTATTGCTGGCTGGTAGAAATGGCAACAGCGCTGGTTCTTAACGCATTTACTTTATGACCGAGATAAACAAAAATAAATGTTATGTCAAACCCCCATTATTATAGGGATATTTCAGACTTTAAACACGTTTTACTACTGAGATCATAAATCATCACATACGCACCTACAAGACAAAAGCAATATAAATGGTCCTCGATAAAAGATACCCCAACATATCAAAACACTATTGCAAACCAAAGAAATGCCCACATCCCTTGACACAATAAAAAACGAGATTAAAGTGCCTTTCACATCTATTCAGGTTCCGTTTCCAGTTCCGGTACCGGTTAAGAAAAGAAAAGAAATCGGACTCGTATTCTTACAACGCTGAAGACGTATTCTATTCACATCTACAGTATTCCTTACCGGTTGCCTGGAGCGATTTTTTTAAACCGGATTCGAAACTGGTTTAAGCCTTGCCTATGCTAGAACTTGGCTATGCCTATTAAGCCTACTATATTATATAAATATACGATTTTAATAGATAAGATTAATTTAACATGGACATAGTAATTCATAATTAAACAATACATTAAATTTAAATGTAATATAGTAATGTTAATGAATAAATAATAATTAAAACGTGTACATAGTATCTCTACAATAATAAAATTAATATTTTCCAAACATAAACAATACGATGCAACTCGCGACGCAAGTTCCTCGTACTGCGTACGTGACGTCTGCGTGATGACAGTTAACTGGAACGGAAAACGCAGTACATTTGAACAGGATCGACAAAAACTGGACGAGGAACCGGAAATGAAAAACGGAACCTGAATAGATGTGAAAGGCACTTAAAGATTGCTACATCAGTCAAGTCTCCAAACAACATTCTACGATGCTACATTCCCTCAAAATATAGGACTTTAATCTCAAGCCTTTTCTCAAATCATGATTTATTAATTGAAAAGGGTCGCTAAGTAGTAGAGAAAACAAAATCGCTAACTTTTAATTAAGCATATGGTTTTAAATTATTGTAACGTGTAAGCTACCGGTTCTAAAATAATAATAATAATGTAGTTTTATGTAAAAAGATAACATTCAGAGATGATAGACGATCACAAGTAGCGATATAATGGTTCCAATCGCTGGTTGATTGGATTGGATATAGTTGGTGTAAACACCAAGGATAACCCACAAAAGTCTGAAGAAGACTTATTTCCAGTTGGGTCCTTCTGGCGGTGATTGAGCAGTATACCGGACCGGGAGACAATCCCCCAACTCTTTTCCGAATCGTTCAACGTTTTTTAACGTGCACCCGTGCCATAATGCACACGGGACCAGCGGCTTAAACGTCTCATCGAAAGACGGTGCGCTATCGTAACTTGCATTTTAGCCCTCCAGGGGAAACACAAAAGGAGTAGCGATGGGAATTGAACCGGGGACCTACAGATATCCATGGTTCAGCGCACACACAGTGGCTACCACCAGTTTAGACAACTGAGCTAAGCTGCTCTCAATGAAGTCAACAACATTAACACATAAGCCATAAAATATATATTTTCTTATGAATATACTCTGGTTACCTAAACTCGTACACATTTACTATGCAAAACAATTATCGTTACATTTACTGAAACAATAATACATCTTATCATACATAGACTACCTTAATGTCTGAATATGTAATAATACATTAAAAATTACTGCATTAGTAATACTTATTCCATTTAGTACTCGATTCTACCTAAATGATCTGATAAGCTATCAGTTTCGGTAATAGTTATGTCATGGTACAGGCCCGTATCCAGCTTTTTGAATGGGGGGAGGGGGGTGCGTTTTGCGAGCGCAGCGAGCATCCAGGATGGGGGCCGCTCAGGGCCCCCGTTCGGGGTCCAGGGGCTGAAGTTCCCGGAAAAATTTGCTTTCTTACGTCCTAGTAGACTAATTTGAAGGCATTTTATCATGTTAATCTCTACATGTCCGTGAACACAGCGATAGGGCCTATCAAAAAATTATCAGTGCGGACATGTAGAAACAAGCAAATTGTTTCCCAAATGAAAAATACTACTGTATAAATTCGTAACCATTACGAATAAAAATTTAAAATCAATTCTGCTTTTAAATGAATAATAGCAAAGTTTGATATAAAGAGTGGATTAAAAGCGACTGTAAATGAGCTAATTAAAACAACTAGA